GCATGCAGATTGGTTTGGAGAAAAGATACAACCCTGATTGCACACCTTTTCTGCTTTTAAACCATTCAAGGTTCTTTTCCTCTATTTGGACAACTGCTTCTTAGCCTATTTCTAGGTTTTGCCTCAGTACAGTCAGTGTTCTGGGATTTCCATTTTTCTCAATATTAGGATTGAGCACCCCAACTCCAGGCTTCTACTAGGCTGGCAGATATCCATCCCAGGCTAGATGGTTTGTTTTTTATTTTCCACACCATGCATATTTGTTTTATATTTGTATGATTGCTTATTTGTAGTTTATTCTTAAAGATGCAGTACTTTTTGCTGTATTGAGGTGATTTGCATGTTGCTGTAATGCAGAAAACTATGCCACTGACATTTCAGGTCTAAGCAAGGTCACTCATGGACAACTTCCTGCCACACTTCCAAAATGAGACAGATTAAGCAAGACTGGCCATTTACTGCTGAGATAATAGGCCTTCAAAAACCTTACAGAGGAACATTGTTAAATACAGTGCCAAAAGGTGACTGCCTCAGCTTGGAAAACTCTCAAAAAATGAGGAGAAGCAGCTGCACACATTCATTAGTAATTGGAAGATGGGATGTATAAAGTATGAATCTAGGGAAATTGAAAGTTGTCAAAATAAAATGAAATGCATATAGATTGACATCCTATATATTAGTAACTGAGATGGACTAGTATCACCTGGAATCAGATAATCATATGATCTGTTATGCCAGGATGACAAATTGAAGAGGAGCTGTGTTGCATTCAATTTTAAAAAAGAATTTCCAGCTCTATCATATTGTACAGTGCTATAAGTTATAGGATAGGATCCACATGCATGCAAAGTAAACCTGTTCATATAACTGTTATTCAGATATATGCACCAACCATTAAAGCCACAGATGAAGAAATTGAAGACTTCTATAATTTTTTTTTACTGGTTATATATATTCATTTATATACATCATGTACTTTGTGTTCTGTACAATCATTCATATACCTTCTGGTTCATTCATGTACTTTGTGCTTGAAATTTATCAAATACTGGAATGCAAAAGTTAGAAACAAAGAAGTAGGATTGATGGAAAATATGGATGTAGTTATAGAAGTGGGACTGGAGATTGAAAGACAGAATTTTGTACAATAAAAGATTTATCCACTGAAAATGCCTTTTTAATAGTATAAGAACTGTCATTATGCTCACAGACCTTACCAGATGGACTACACAAGAAACATATTGGTTATATCTATGTAAAGAATATCAGGAGAAGCTCAGTATCAGCAGTCGACAGAAGACCAGGGCTTGACTGTGGAAAAGACAATATTACTCATGTGAAAGTTCAAATTGAAGTTGAAGGAAATTAAAACAAGTCCATAAGATCCAGAATGCTAGCTTGAGTTTATCCCACCTGAATTTAAAAGCCATCTCAAGAAGAAATTTGATGCATTGAACACTAATAACTGACGACCAGATCAGTTGTAGGATGACATCAGAATTATTCATGCAGAAAGCAAAGGGGCATTGCAAAGACAGAAGGAAAAGACCAAAATGGATTGTGAAAGAGATTATGATACTTGTACTAGAACATAGTGCAAAGAAAGGGAGGGAAATTGGGGAGGTAAAAGAGTTGAACGGAAAATATCAAAGGGCAGTTTTCAAATACAAAGTAAATGTACAAAAAGTTGGAGTTAGAAAACCAAAAGGGAACAACATACTCAGCCTTTTTCAAGCTGAAAGAACTAAAGAACACATTCAAGCTTTGACTTATTTACATGTTGCTGCGTCCCCCGTCAAAGTAGAAACCTATTCAGAGCTGACCCTCCAGTGGGTTTTCAGAAGCAGTAAATTACATGAAATGAGATTGCCCATCTTTCTTCTGCAGAGCAGCTGGTGGGTTTGAACCATTTTCCTTAGGGTTATCATTACAGCTCTGAACCACTAGACTACCAGAGCTCCTCCCAAATCTTTTGGTCAGAGTTGTAAGAATCCGACTAGAAAGGCCATATAAAAGTGATTCATGGCACCATAACCGTGCAAGGGAGACACCGCCAGGAGCAGTGTTACAGGCATATTGGATTGGTAGTGATGCCCATGTACAGACAGAACCTTTAAGAGTCTAGTGCTTGGGTGAAAGATGGGTATGCTTGTATAAATTTGAGCATTAGCGTATATGGATGCTGAGTCAGCAGTTATATCAAAGGGATCATATTCAGTGAAAACAAGAGTATCTCAGATTCAGCTTTGAGGTAACCGATAATTTAGGTTGCTGTTAGCTGCTGTCAAGTTGATTCTAATTCACATACAACAGATCAAAACTTGGCTCAGTCCTGTGCAGTTCACTCTCACAAACTTCAGGGTTGCAGTCACTGTGTAAACCCACTTCCTTTAGAGTCTTCCTCTCCTTGACTGACTCTCTACCTTTCCATAGACTGGCCCTCCTTGACAGCATGTTCAAAGTACGTGAAATGACGTTTCGCCATACTTGCCTCTAGGGTGCACCCTAGTTGCCCTTCCTCCGAGACAGATTTATTTGTTCTTTTGCCAGTGGATTGGCTAGTCAGTACTTTTCACCAACATCCAATTAAAAAATGTCCGTTTTCCTTTGATTTTTCTATTCATTGTCCAGCTTTTACAAGCATATGAAGCAATTGAAAGTAATCATCTATGGGTTGGTGCAGGCACTCATTCGTCTTTAAGCTGCTATTTGGACTTTAAAGAAGGCCTTGACAGCAAATTTGCCCAATGCAATATGTCTTTTGATTTTCTCACAGCTGCTTCCATTGGTGCTGATTGTGGAACCAAGTAAGATAAGATCAGTGACAAAGCCAGTATTTTCTCCATCTATCATGAGATTGCCTATAGGTCCGGTTGTGAAGAGTTTTGCTTTACATTTACGTATATCCCTGAAGGGTATAGTCCTTGATCTTCATTAAGTGTTTCAAGTGGCTCAGACCCACTAGCCACATTGTGAGTGAACGATGTAGTCAATTACCATATGAGATTACAGCACTGGAAAGCATATGGAGCCATTCTGTTCTGTCCTAGATGGTGTCTAGAACTTTTAATGAACTCTGCAGCAGCAGGTATCTGTACCTAATAAACACACACATATAATACCACTCATTTGTTATCTAAACATTTTGATTGTTGTTGTTGTTAATGTGCCTTCGAGTCGCTTGCGACTCATAGTGACCCTGTGTACGACAGCCCTAAACCCTGCTCTATCCTGTGCCAATCTCACTGCCTCTAACACACTCATCCCAGTTACCCCAGTCACTGAATCAATCTACCTCATAGAGGGTCTTCCCCTCCTGCGCCGTCCCTCCACCCTCCCAAGCATGATGTCCCTCTCTAAGGACCTGTCCCTCCTTACAACACGTCCAAAGTATGTCAACGAAGTCCCCAAATCCTTGCCTCCAAGAAGCAACCTGGTTTAACCCTTTCCAGGATGAATCTGTTTGTTTTCCTAGCAGTCCATGTCACCCTCAATACTCAATGCTTACCTGTGAAACATTCTTTTAAAGATCAAAATCACTTGATCTTTGTTTCAAATGCTGAGAGAGAGAAGTTGAAGATTTGTGGAGAGAAGATGGTCAGTAAAGTCTGGCTTATGGAGCAAGAGGCCTGGTGATCCAGGCTTGAATCTGGATAAGTAGAGAAGGCAGTTTTGAGTCCTAGGAAAACATGGGAACAGGTGTGAGCAAGATGCTTCTACTGAGAGATGGAAGGTAGATGAAGGGCATTAGGATGACATTAAGCAAATGTCTTAATAGAAAATTCTTGAGTGTTTCCTGAAACTTAGGCATTATGTTAAAACTTGGAATATACTCTGTTTTCTGATGAAGAACATATAGTTAAAATAAGTTGGGTTTTTGTTTTTGTTTTAAATCCCTGGATTTGATATGAAGTTGGAGGATAGGGGAGGCTGTAACTGAAGACTTTCTAGCATCCTGCATTTGGAAAGATACATTCAAAGGAGGAGTGGAAGATTGCCAGAGAAAAATGAAAGGGTGAACCTTAACAGTAGCATGGGTATGTTGTAAAGAAATCTTTCACTGATATAATATCATTCATATAGAGAAGTATATATCATAATCGTATGACTGGCTGATGAATTACCATGGAACAAACACTCCTTTGTATTCAAGAAACAGCATATGACCAAGCAGTGTTTTAATAGGAAACTGTGGGAATCATGCTGGGTTGTGTGGCCAGGAAAAGAGAAGGTGGGACGCTGCAGCAATGCAGGGACAGGTGGGGAATGGCTTCTGCCTCAGCAGAGGAGGAGCGCTGTTTTCTATTCTATAAAATAACTATACCACATTGTTAAATTTAGGTATACACATGTTTGTCCTTGCTTATTTAGAAGAGAGAATTCTTACTGGAGAATTGTTTTATTGTGTTATTATATGCCATTGAGTCACTTGGGACTCATAGCAATCCTGAAACCTGCTCCATCCTATGTCTCTGACAAACCTACCCTCATTACTCCAGTCATTGAATTAATCCATCTCATCAAGGGTCTTCTTCTCTTGTGCTTTCTCTCCAACCTTCTAAGCATGCTGTCCCTCTCCAAGGACTGGTCCCTCCTTTCAACATACCCAGAGTATGTCAGATTAAGCCTCAGAATCCTTGCCTCCAAGGAGCAGCCTGGCTTTACCCTCTCTAGAACAAACCTGTTTGTTCTCCTGGCAGTCCATGGTATATTCAACACTCTTCTCCAGCACCACAGCTCAAAGGCATCAATTCTCTATCATCCCTAGTCATTGTCCAGCTTTTTGACACGTAGCAGGTAATTGTGAAGAGTATGGCTGGATCAGGCACACCTTTGTTTCCAGACTGACATTGTTGTTACTTTTCAGTATTCAGTAGAGGTCCATGACTGCAGACTTTCCTAAGGCAATTCATCTTTTGATTTCCTGGCTGCAGGGGTTAAAAAAAATCCTTATTTGAAAGTTAATTTACTTTTTCCTTCTCTCTTTCTTTTTTACTTAGGGTTATTATGTGCACCGTGACATGTTGGGAGAAAAAGGAGATTTCATTACTTCACCTGAAATAAGCCAGATCTTTGGGGAGGTAATATCTAATGTAAAATATAAAAGAAATACTAGTATTGCAAACTTATTATAAGAATAGATCAGGTTATATTATTTATGTTTTCATATAATTAATGTAAACTTTTAATTTTATAGTAGTGTGTGTACTAAGAGAATAGAGATGATTAGAGAGATAATTGAGGGAAGAAACTAAGAGACAGCATTTGGAAAGTTTATACTTTACTGAAATAAAGGAAATGGAGAGATAAGAGGAAAAGAAATGGAAAAGAGAAGTAAAGAGATAAAGGCGAGGAAAATAATTTGAAAAATACAGAAAGAGAGATACAGGGGAAGGTGAAGAGAAAGGAAAAGAGTATCCAAGAAGGAAGAGAGAAAGGATGTAAAGTAATACTGGAAAATGAATAAATCAAGACTATGTTAAGGAACTTTGAATTCCCTTTAGGATTGAATTTCACTCATTTTCATAAAACTGTGTTTGCTCTGCTTAGAAATTGGTGATGGTGGTGTATACCTTCAGTTCTGAACCGACTCATAGCTGATCCTGCAGCCGATTGACAGAGGCAGTTAATTGTAACAGGGGGAGATTGCCTGTCTTTCTCCTTTGCAGCAGCTGCTGGATTCAAACCAGATGCCATTGAGATTGAGTGCAGCTTCTTACCACTAGCCAACAGAGCTTTCTCAATTTAGATATAGAAATGGGACCCTGGAGAAGCTAGAATCCAAGAATTGATAAATAATATCATTTATAAATGAAAATGAATATGAAACAAAGGACATAATATTTTTATATTTATTTACTTTCAAATAATAATACATCTCTAAGTGATATGTTTGTTCAGGGGACTTTTAATAGCATAATTGCTTTATAATGAGTATTCCTATTTATTAAATTTTCTTATTATTTCTTGTGACATAATCCTAGTAAGTTCCTGTATGTGTCTATATGGTATATATATATTTATGTTTTGGTACATACATATTAAATAACATACATTGCGGATGTTTACAGAGATTTTCCTTTTGGCCTAGAGTATATATGTATATATGTATATGTATATGTGTGTGGAGTTTTTTTATTGAGTTGTTCTTTATATTACTTTACCGTTTTCTCCCTTAACACAGCTGCTCGGGATATGGTTCATTAGTGAATGGATGAGCGCTGGAAAAAACTCAACTTTCCAGCTAGTGGAACTTGGTCCAGGTAGGGGCACGCTCACTGGAGATATTTTGAGGGTAGGTAATAAGGAAATGCATTAAAGTGTCATGAAGATGAACTTGACTACTTTTCACTATTTGTAAACTTCATGGATTTTTTTTTTTTTTTTGCATTTCAGTTCTACCTCCTTTATCTCGTTTCTTAGCTAAAATACCATGTCAGAATAACATAACAAATTGTTCATTTACTGTTATTTGTTTGTATGCATCAAGAAAGGGGAAAGGAAAGTGAAACAGAAAGCATAAAATATTTAGGTAATGGGGAGAGTTGTTGTCACGTACCATAGAGTTGAGTATGACTTATAGTAACCCTGTGAACAAAAGATCTGAACCCTGTTCTAGCCTGTGCCATCCTCACATTTCCTGACACTCAAGAGCCCACTGCAGCAGTCACAATGTCAGTCCACCTGGTTGAAGGTCTTCCTCTCTTTCTCCAACCCTTCTCAGTATCATGTCCTTTTCCAAGGAATAGCCCCTCCTAGCAATGTCCGAAGTATGTGAGGCAAAGCCTCATTATTCTTGCCTCCAACAAGCACTCCGGCTGCACCCTCTTCAGGACATAACTGTTTGTTGTCCTAGCCATCCATGAGATGTTCAGTGCTCTTCTCCAATACCACAGCTCAGAGGCATCAGTTCTTTTGTCATCCTTATTCATTGGCCAGCTCTCAGAAGCTTAGAAAATAATAGGAAAGACTGGCCTGAATCAGACACACTGTAGTCCTCAAACTGACTTCATTACTCCTCAGTAATTTGGAGAGGTCCGTAACTGCAGATTTCCCCAGTGCAGTGTGTCTCCTTATTTCCTGACTACTGGCAGTTATACAAGAAATCAAAGGAAAAAAGAGGAATCATTTCAACTACATGAAAATGAAGAAGATTTGATCTTAAAAGATATCATAAAGTCAATGAAAAGATAAGCCACTAAGTGCGAAAATTATTTGTAACACTTAAAACCAACAAGCAGCTAGAACCCTGAAGTTGGGTCACTTTGATTAACAGACTGTTGGGGATTTGGAAATGTCTTACTTAAAGCAGTTTGTATCCAGTCTGATGGCCTAGTGTTTAAGAATCTGTGCTGCAATCCTGAAGGCACATGATTCCAGTCTCCCTGCTGCTCCACAGGAGAAGGATGGACAGTCTCTTCCTGTGTGATTAACTGCCTACGAAAACCCGCCAGAGAGTCAGCTATGGGTTGGTTCTGACTCTGTAGTACACAACAACAACAACAAA